ATAATGAATATTGTTGATAATCCTAATGTGTCTGAGGAAGTCTGCAGCCGCAGACGAAACGTAGCGACAAAACAGGTAACGAAACTGTTTCTGTGTTTCAAAAGAACGACAGCATGGAATCCTAATGTGTGTCATCTCGCATGTTTAACCAGCCTCATTCAGAGGATATCCAGGGTAAAGGGTAAAATCATCTCACATGTCGTTACCTCATGACCAAGCTTTCTGATGCTGAGAGGGTGTGTTCTGAGGGTTTTGTTAAAACTAAATGTCCCGCAGAAAAAAGCCATTCTTGAACCATACCAGAAAAGGGACGGCCGCCCGAATCTCTACTAAGCATTCTGTCACGCCGATAGAATTGCTCTGAATAAACGCACTGTAACCAGCTGACACAAAACTCCTTCAGAGTTGTTGATTTTGAGACGCTATAGTTCCACCAGTCGAGTGACCCACGGAGACATCTCAGGACCGATTTGGTCGCACTAAGGTCCTTCTACCAACCTCGTGCCCGGAGAAAACCATCTCCACCTGACATCTTGGATCCAGAAGAGGGTCTCCTGATATTGGGTGAGGTAGACACTTCTGACAGATGGCGTCTGTATGCTGTTTCTTCTAATAAACATCAGCTAGCTGCAAAACAACTTTCCACCCAGAAATGCTTCTCTTGCTGAAAGAAACTGAAACTGATATTCATTCACGCATCCAAAAACTTGCATTTTCATTTTAGCTTCCATTCAGTCCTAGGTTTGCTTTTAAAACATGTTTTAATATAAAATTGTCTGTTAAAAATTGTAATTTCTAAATTGTCATTTTTAAAAAGTGTTAGTAATAAATTCTTAACTTTAAAAGCTTGACTCTTCTTTGAAATGAAACACAGAATGGTGTATATTTTTGGTTATTGAAAAAGCAAAGATTCCTTTGAACTTCTGATTAAATAAATAAACTTTTGCTACTAAATTGAATTATCTTAAATTAAACATTAATCTTTGGATTAAAATTAGACCAAGCTCGTTGGAATGTGAACTTCTATCGAACATATAATATCCTAGATATTTATATATGATAGAAGCTTCATTGTTAACTTGTTTGGATCTTTTCTCAGAATCTAACAAAGCTGATAGCAAACAGTGTTGATTCTAGTATGTAGTTAAACACGCTACATATGTTTGTGCTATTAGGGTTAGGGTTAGGGTTAATAAATTCACCAACTTAAGTTAACTTCCACAGACTCAGAAAACAAAAAAACTTGAATGTTAGATTTGACTGAGTTTGTGTGTTCTGTTGTTTGAGATCTGCAAAATAAATCTTATTTGCATTACTTGGAAACCCTAGTGAGTTATTGAGACAGTTCTTTGGTGTGTAATAGAGAAATAAGTTTGCATCAAAATGGCAGACAATGAAGGGTTTAATCTTAAGAACATTTTTATTTTTATTTCTTTTTTTTGTGAGGGAGATGTATCCGCCATTATATCGGCTATCGGCCTTTGTTAAAAGTTTTATATCGGTATTGGTCCCCAAAAAAGCATATCGGTCGGGCCCTACTATCCACCCATCCATTCATCTATCCAATTATCCATCTACCTATCCACCTATCCATCCATCTATCCAATCATTAACCCATCCATCCATCTATCTAATCATCCATCCACCTATCCACCCATTAAAACATCTATCCAATCATCGACTCATCCATCCATCATCGAAATGAGGTCACATATTAACACTACGTAGAAATGCCACAGCTTGGATTCAAACCTATGGTCTTTATAATGCAAGGTTACCAATCAGCTCCAGTAGAGACATTTTCTTACAGTTTTTCTCAGTTGCTAAAACACTAAAATCCATTGACTGAAGAAAGTTCTCAGTTGCTTGTACTCATTAAGCTAACTGTTGAGTCTTTTGTCAAAACTTTAAAAAATTTCACATGGTTTAGCAAAACTCTAAACACATTCTCATTCTTAAAACACATTCTGTACTCTAATGCAGGCTCAGCGCCATGCTTTCATTTTTGGGTGGGCCACGGTAATTTTGGACGGGCCTTAATAAGCAGTGACGTAAGTGAAGCAGGCAGGTCGTGCTAGAAATTTTCCTTTAAAGACGTCAAAAATGTTTCCCCCATCATTTTTATTTCTAAAATATAAAGTAAAAATTCACAATTTACTTTTCACTCATTTTTCATTAATATTTAGTCTACACCTGTGTGTTAAGTGCACCGGCACCATTACCTGCACTTCTAATATTTACCTTTCAAAGTTGGACTCTTTCATAAGGGTACATGCACATCGGTAGTTTTCACGGTTATTCATGGGGCAAAATCTCCGACATTTTTGAAAAGAAAAAACAAATATCCATCTTCCAGTAAAAGCAAAGCATCCAACCCACCTCTCCAAATGTGTAAAATGTGCATCACAGCCGCTAGGCTAATATATGATATACTAATTTTTTTGAGGTAGGAATTTGGGGTTTTCATGAGCTGTACGCCAAAATCATCAATATTAGAAAC